ACATCGACCGGGGGTGACATTCGGCACGCTGCCCACCCACGACTCCCAAGCCTCCCCCGAGCTGTCAAAATGAAGACGGAGTGCCACAGCTCCCCCCTTCCCCCAAGCACGCTGCCTGCCCATGACTCCCAAGCCTCCCCTGGGCTGTCAAAACAAAGGGGGGTGGCGCCGGTAAAGCTGTGCCGCTTTGCCAGTGGCCTTCTCCCCTGTAGCCTGCAATGCTACAAGCACAATGTGGTCTTTGCCATAATCCAGTCAATCCAATGTGTCCAATAGACCCATTCAGCTCAATCTCATATTGGGGACTGTTCGACTTATACAGACCCTAGTACAGAAATGCATTGCAATTTTGAGGAATTTTTAGTGCAATTAATAATAATAATAATAATAATAATAATAATAATAATTTATTTATAGCCCGCCCATCTGGCTGAGTTTCCCCAGCCACTCTGGGCGGCTCCCAATTGAGTATTAAAAACAATACAGCATTAAATATTAGAAACTTCCCTAAACAAGGCTGCCTTCAGATGTCTTTTAAAAATAGGATAGCTGCTTATTTCCTTGACATCTGATGGGAGGGCGTTCCACAGGGCGGGCACCACTACCGAGAAGCCTGTCCACATCCTCAGAGGTAACAGATTGGAACTGAATCCATGTAACATGAGTAGACAGGACTCTAGCACTCTCCTGCCCCGGCCCTGCTCCCGCGGTAGAGTCTACCTCCTTCTGAATTTGAGCGACCTTATCTGCAAAAAAAACTTTGCAAAAGCATTGCAGGAGATCTTGGGGTCCCTACCAGGCCCCGGTGACGAAGGTGGTTCCAATAGATTGAGAACTACATAAAAGAGTCTCCTGCTGCTGTTTTCTGCAGATGCAATAGAGGCGGTGAAGAAGTTCCTCTTCGCCATCGCCATTGCCACTTGGTAGGCTCAACATTGAGCTCTAGCCCGTGTCCAGTCTGATTCAGAATGAGTTTTCCATCACCTGCTCTTTAGCTGTCTCAACAATTGTTTCATTGCTCTCAGCTCTAGGGAAAACCACTGAGTTGTCTGGGCCCCATGCAATTGGAAAGGCCGCTTCAGAGCCAGACAGTCAATAGCCCTGGTTAACTCCGCATTCCAGCGGGCCACCAGGGAATCAGCTGAAAGGCCATCAGCATGGGATAAAACATCCCCTACCACTCTCTGGAAGCCAATTGGATTCATTAAGTGGTGGGGGCGGACCATCTGAATCGGTCCCACCTCCCTGCACAGGTGAAGGGTCATGGAGAAGTCCAGTTGCATCAGAAAGTGATGTGACCATGGCACGTCTTTTGTTTTGCTTTTACTTAATGTCGGATCACCAATATCCATAGAGGAAAACACCAGGTCGAAGGCATGTCCATGACTATGAGTTGGGCCAAAATTATTCAGGGACAGCCCCATGGAGGCCATGCTTTCCACAAAGTCCCGAGCAGCCCCTTGTAAGTTCATGATGGCATGGATGTTAAAATCCCCCAGGACAACCAATCTAGGTGTCTCCAGGAGAACATCCGCCATGACCTGAAGCAGCTCGGGCAGGGAATCCTTGGTGCAGTGGGGAGGTCGGTACACCAAAAGGAATCCTGTACTTCTCCTATTGCCCAACTTCCAGAACTACTGGAAGACCACGTTTAATATTTGTACATCTACCTGTGCACAATTCTAGTCACTTCACCAACAAAAGGATATTGTAGAGTTGGGGAAAGTTCAGAAAAGGGCTAAAATTAAAATGATCCAGGAGATGGAGCAACTTCCCTGTGAGGAAAGTTTGCAGCATTTCGGAATTCGTGCACAAATTCTGCTGGTGAATTTCCCACAGGCACCTGGTCAGCTACTCTGAGAACAGGATGCTGGACCAGATTTGGCCATTGGCCTGATCCAGTAGGCTCTTCTTATGCTCCTATGCTCCGTACTAAATTACCATAGCAAACATCTAGGCACAGTTTTAAAATGAGAGTCTTGGAGAAACACGATGGGCAATGTGTGTTAATGGTTAAACACACATTGCCCACCATGTTTCTCCAAGACTCTCATTTTAAAACTGTAGCCTTGTAGAAATCCATTAATATCTCAACAATGAAAAATGCTCCTATGTGTATATTGGGAATCAATGGGGGAAGATGTGGATTTACAATTAACGTTATTGGTTTTTCAATAACACTGAAAATTACATCAAAAAGAACCTTGAAGATGAACCCCTGACTTTGTTATTGTTTCTGATTAACATCTTCCAGTATTAATTCAAATTTATTTATCTGCTGTATTCCAGAGACAGGGGACAGGCAGAGCTGAGAGCCTTTAGCTGTAGCTAGGCCAAGCGGGAACAGTCTGGGAAGCTGTAAGAGAAACCATAGTATCATTGTTTGGGATTCTAATGCAGGATCAGCCCTTTGGCTGTTTTTAGGCTATGCTTGCTTCCAATAGGTTCTACTTTTGTCTTTGTAAATAAAACATTTAACAAAGACATCACAAGTCTATGGCTGGCTCTCTTGTTCTCACCCAAAGGAAGGTCCATTCTTTCGTGCTTCTCCTGACTTAGCATGCTATCCTTGGGTGTCTCATTGCTTGGGGAAGTGTGGAGTACTTAACAGTACATTTTGACGAGTGAGAATTTAAAATGTTGCACGTGCTAGTACAGTAGTACATTTTTCAAAAATACTGCCGCAGCTCACAATGAACTCCTAGTCCAGTAGCTCTGGCAATCTATGGTTGGGGAGAGAAATTCAGTTTAGTTCACACGTAATGTGAATGTACCTAATCTGCATTTTCAGGAACAATGCATGAACCAAAATCCACTACACCAAATGTTGCAATGAAGTTATCTAGCCAAATAATGTAAACAAAAAAAATGTAGAGTTTCCATAAAATTGCATCTCTTCATGATAATAACATTAATAAATGCATTACATTGGGGAAAGGCTCTACAGAAATGTGTATATTGGACAAAATTGCGTACAACCATGCGTATCTTAAGTAAATATTTGATGATGAAATACAGAGAACTGAATTTAGGATTGGAAAAATGAGAAACCAAGAGAACCCAATGTGCAGATGGGGCTCCAGAGCAGTCATTCATTCTCTTCAGTGTTATGCAATATTCTGCAAACAAGGTAGAAATTCACATACCGTATATTCCTTCTATATACAATTTCTGTCTTACCTTTGTCAGAGCTTTTTCTGCCATTTGTCCATATGATTAAAGCCCCTTCTAACAGACATGGCAGCAACATAAGGACAAATAGTGAATTGGGTTTGAGGAAACAATTACGTCAATTGACCAACATGGGAGTCCAGGTAACATATTCATATAAAGCATGCATTATCTAAGGATTATTTGCATGCACCTTGCATTGTCTGTCACATCTTGAATACATGGTTCAGACGTCACATAGGTACTGGCAGAAAACAGGTTCCCTTAACAGGGTTATATGGAGCTCCTTTGTATGGTTCTGAGCACAAGTCTGCAACTGGGTTTTTGGTGAGCTAAGGAAAGACAAAAAGAATGGATGAAGAAGGGCAATGCACAGTTAACTGTATCTTAATGTAACATAGGCACACATTGAAAGCATGTTTGTCTGAATGTTTTCAGCTGCGCACTAATTTCCACATTTCCCCTTCTGTTTTGACCAATTCATGCATGCCAACAGACACATGTGATGATGACAACCCCCATTTGAAGCAAAGTGGGAAGGCCATTGATATTATTTACTAGCTAAGGGCCTCTTAAGAGAAAGAAAGAAAGAAAGAAAGAAAGAAAGAAAGAAAGAAAGAAAGAAAGATTAAATTGTTCGGGAGCATTTCATATTATTGGGTTTTTTAAAAATATTTCTTTATTATGCTGTTACCATTCATTCATTCATTTGCAACACATGTGAGATTCACAACGTGATTTCAAATATAATTTTCTAAGAAATGATTTGTCAGCTGGGAGGAGAGCCAAGTACAATGAACTGCGCAGGCTAGTGCCTCATATTCTCCTTAGACATTGCAGTGACAAAGACTGCACATTTCCCAGAAGGTAAGGGGAAAGAGATATCTGTCTCTGGCAGCCAGCTAAGCAGAACCTGTCAAGCTTTCTCCCCACAGAATAAAATCAGCTGACTGTGGCAGCAGCTGATGCTATCACTACAGAAGCAGGTACAGAATGACTCACAAATGTATCCTGTTAGAGCATATTAAAATGAGCAATAATGCACATAGGCAACATGGCGGTGTTGAGGATCCATGTCCTGTCCCAACACCCTCCCCATAACATGTTCTTGCAGTGCCTCATTTTGTCCACCACCAGCAGTAAATGGTAGCAGAACTGAACACCACAGCACTGCAAGGACCTTTGGCGGCCAACTTGCCACCCTCTTCTCTGGCAGGCCAGGACTTACGCTGATTCCTAAGGCTCCTCAACCTCCTTAAAGAATTGCTCCATAATTGCTTTTGTTCCTATACTACAATTTAATGTGATTATTGTGATTTTATTGTGGGGATTTTTAAAGCCTCCAGGAGCCACCAAGAAATATGTCCACGTCAAAATTAATGAATTAAAGGCAAAGACATGCTTGCAGAGTGAATGAAACAATGACTGCTCGTGTCTGCCATCGATGCTGACAACTCTTCTTTTGCACTGTGTGATCTAAAACCCGCTAATGCCTAGAAGGCGAGAATGAGAAGTTAACCGATTTGTATTTATATTAATGTTAGAGACTAGCTGAATATTTGCAATGATTTCATCTCCAGGATGTGGAACATGCTACCCAGAGCTGCCGGCTTTCTCTGTCTCCCTCTCTTCCCTCCTCCAATCTTACTCAATTTAATTGGAAATGTAAATGAATACTTAATAAGTTACATAGCCTTCCGCATATCTTAATAATCTGGATGGGTATGCCTTGCCCTTGTCATTAGAATCATGCTGTGCAGGTGAATTTTTACATTAGAGTCATCATATTAATTGGGGGGATGGGGCAAAGGAACATTTCGGTACCATATTGTGATGGGATGATGAGCTGCTTGTGCGTAAAATAGTATCCCCTCAGAGTTTGTTCAAGTCCACAAACCTCTGTCTGTGACGGAGCCCCTCAGACATGGCTGCTCTAGTCACTAGCAGATTCCGACAGTGGTTGCTTTCGTAATCGCTTCCAACATAAAAGCTCCTTAACGGAAACACGTCTTCTGGAATCTCTGCGTGACAGTTTCCGGCGAGGAGTGGGTGTTCTTACAGGAGGTTCTGAAACCTCCCCACTGTTTTCGCTGGAAGTGTCTCTGAGCCATCCCTCCAGCTCAGCTCCTCTCCCCTGCTGGTTCCTTCTTCAGCTGCTGCGTCTCTCCCAACCTGTGTGAGCCCTTTCACCTCCCTGTTGGTTCCCTCTTCAGCTGCTGCGTCTCTCCCAACCTGTGTGAGCCCTTTCACCTCCCTTCCGTCCGATGGCAGTTCCCTGACATCCACCTCCCCTCCAGGGCCCCCTTCACCCCCTCTCGCCCCTCCTCTACGGGCGGTGAGGAGGCAAAACCCCGGAATGAACTTCCTTCATCTTCCGATGTCTCGAACACTTCTCTCAACCTGTTGCGGTTCCTGGTCTCGAAGTACACCTCCTCCTCAGAGTCTATCTCCCCTTCCCCTTCCGAGTCCGGGAACCCTTCCAACTCCTCCCCTTCATCAGTGGTCCCAAAGTATTCCCTCCGGAACCTCTCCACAGGCTGAGGTTTCCTTGGGAACCTTTGATGGAACGTTTCTATCAATACCTCGTCATTGATATCTTCAGCCATTACCCAAGTGTTTTCTGACTCCGGTTCTCCTTCCCACGCTACCAAATACTCCACCTGATCCCCCTTCCACCTGGCGTCGAGGATTTCAGCCACATGGCTGCTGCATTCTCTTTCTTCTACGACCGGTCCCCGAGTGGCCAGCCCTTCTCGTCCCCCTTCGTACGGTGACAGTAACGACCTGTGAAATACTGGGTGCAGTTTCATGTGGTTGGGTAACCGGAGCCTGAAAGCCACTGGGTTGACCTGTTGAATGACCTCAAAGGGACCCAACCTCCTGGGTCTTAATTTCTTACAACCTCCTTTGAACGGCAACCCTTGGGTTGACAGCCACACCCTATCTCCCACCCTTATGGTTTCACCTTCCCTTCGGTTCTTGTCTGCCTGCCTCTTGTATTCTTCCTTCGCCCTTTCTAAGTTGAGTTGGAGCTGACGATGGATTGCTTCCATTTCTTCCACAAAATGTTCGGCTGCCGGGACGCTCCATCTCTCCCCTCTCCCCTCGGAATGCCCTGGGATGACACCCATAATTAGCCAAGAAGGGGCTCATCCCTGTGGACACATTCTCGGCATTGTTGTAGGCAAATTCCGCCAGCGCCAACTTTTCTACCCAGTCATTCTCTCTGTCATTGACATAACACCTCAGGTATTGCTGGAGGACACCGTTTGCTCTTTCCGCCTGCCCGTTGGTTTCAGGGTGCCGGGCAGTCGAAAAATTGACCTCCACCTGCAGTAAGCTCATGAGCTTCCTCCAGAACCTGGAAGTAAATTGTTTTCCTCGGTCTGAGACCACCCTCAATGGCACCCCGTGCAACCTAAAAATGTTTTCTACAAATAACTTCGCTGTCTCTTCCGCCGTGACTGCATGCGAGCAAGCTACAAAGTGGCACATCTTTGTTAGTAGGTCTACCACCACCATGATGGCTGTTTTCCCTTTGGACTTCGGCAGATCAGTCATAAAATCTATCGACACTGCCTCCCAAGGTCGTTCTGGGGTTGGTAAGGGTTCTAATAGCCCCGCCGGCGCCCGCCTTTCCCCTTTGGCTCGCTGGCATTGCTCGCACCCTCTTACATACTCACGTACATCTTCCCTCACCTTAGGCCACCAAAATTCCCTGGTGACCAACCACATGGTTCTGTGTTGTCCAAAATGCCCCGCCGTAGGGCTGTCGTGCAACTGCTTGAGTACCCTCCCCCTAACTCTCCTTCAGGGATATACAGTGCCCCTTTGTAATACAAAGCTCCATTTATTTCCTCGAAACCCACCGGTTCCTCTCCATCACCCCTAAGACCTCTGAGCTTATTCTGGGCGTATTCATCATTCTCTGTTTCCTCTACCAGTTCTCTTTGTCCCACCAATGCCGCCCCACACACCCAGCGGTTTTCTGGAATGACATGTCTCTCTTCGGGTGCCCCCTCCCCCTCCAAATATTCAGGTTTGCGTGAGAGAGCGTCCGCCCTAATGTTCTCTGTGCCTGGCACGTAACTAATCTCAAAGTTAAATTTGGAGAACTCCTGGGCCCATCTCACTTGCCGTTGGTTGAGCACTCGTGCCGTCCTCCAATACTCTAGGTTCTTGTGGTCGGTGCACACTTGCACCTTATGTTGTGCGCCAATTAGCAGGTGCCTCCATCTCCGGAACGCCTCATAAATGGCTAGTAGTTCTCGGTCATACACCGTGTAGTTCCTCTCGGATTTGTTCAGCTTTCGCGAAAAAAGGCACACGGTCTCCACTCTGACCCCTTCTTGCCTGGCTGCAGAAGCACCGCCCCAATCGCTCTGTCTGATGCGTCAGTTTCCACTCTCATCGGTTTTTGTAAATCCACATGCAGGAGTTGTTGTTCCGAGGCGAAGGCCCTTGTTAGTTCCTCAAATGCTCGCTCCGCCTCCTCAGTCCACACGAACTTCTTCTTACTGCTGAGACAGTCCGTAATGGGCGCCGTCAGGTGGGCAAAGTTTCGGATGAACTTACGATAGAAGTTCCCAAATCCTAGGAACCTCTGCACATCCTTCTTTGTTTTGGGTGTTTTCCATTCCAGTACCGCCTGGACCTTGCCGGGATCCATGGCCAATCCCTTGTCTGACAGGCGATACCCCAGGAATTCCACCTCCTTGGTATGAAACTGACACTTCTCCAGTTTCACCCACAGCTGGTTGGCTTGCAGCCTGCTCAACACTTCTCTGACGTCCCTCACATGCTGCTCCTCATTCTCAGAATACACCAACACGTCGTCTAAAAGGCCACACAATTCTTGTAAAGCAAAGGCCCCAGGACGTGGTTCATAAACGATTGAAATGTTGCGGAGCCTGCTTGTAGGCCGAAGGGCATAACCAAATATTCAAATGCCCCTAAAGGGGTGAACATAGTGGTTTTCCATTCATCCCCCTTCCTTATTCGTACCAGGTTGTACGCCCCCCTTAGGTCCAGCTTTGTAAAAATCTTTCCCTTCCGCACCCTTGTCAAAATGTCGTCAATCCTGGGCATAGGGAAGGCTACTGGTTCTGACACTGCATTTAAGGCCCTGAAGTCACACACCAGCCTCGGCTTGTTCGTGTTTTTCTTATCCACAAAAACACTGGGCTGCCCCCACCGCCCTGGACTCTCTGATGAACCCTCTCTTCAGGTTCTTGTCAATGAACTCTCTTAACTCCTGCATCTCTCTGTCTGACATGGCGTACAGCTTGCCTACAGGGAGCTGTGCTCCAGGGAGTAAGTTGATTTGACAGTCAAAGGGTCTATGCGGGGTAGTTGGTCAGCTTCCCTTTCGCTGAAGACGTCACGGAGATCTGCATATTGTCGTGGTACCTCCACGTTCTCTGTTACTTCAGTCCCTGCTAGGGCGGCTTGGACCCCTGCCAAACCCTTTCCCTCTTTGCAGTGTTCTAAGCAATGTGCTGAACCAAAAGAAACCACTCTCTGATGCCAGCCCACCAGCGGATCATGTAACGCTAGCCAGCTCATCCCCAATATAATGGGAGCTCCTCCCAAGGTGGCCACATTAAAAGCTATCAGTTCGGTGTGCCTTGCTACCTTCATTATCATTGGGACGGTCTGCAAGCTGACTTCTCCACCCAACAGCTCCCTGCCATCGATCGTGGTAACCTGCAGGGGGCTGCTTAAAGGGATTGTCTGTATCTGGTGTTCAGCTGCAAACTCTTTGCTCATGAAATTGCAGGAGCTGCCTGAGTCCAACAGCGCCTTTATCTTTAGAGGGTGTCCGTTTGGCAGCTCTAGCGTCACTTCTATCACTAGGGCGGGTTTAGGAGGTTCTGGCGTGGGCACTCTCACTGCTCTTTGGCCTGGCTGCTGTGCCCTGACAGTGGCAGCCAGGCGTTGGCTTTTACTTGCTCCGGTATTTTTCCTCTCTTCCATCCACAGCTCCTACCATCCCTTGCCATTCTTTCCTCTGGGGGCAGACTCTGGCAAAGTGACCTGGCTGTTGGCAGAGATAGCATTTCCGGGCGCCTTTTCCCTCCTTCTTTGCCCCTCACTGGGCTTTGAAACTGCGCGCGCGCGCTGTTCCGATTTCCATCGGCTCTGCCGGTGGGAAAGTTGGCTCTGGAATGTCTGGAATGCGGAACTCCTTCCAACGTTCCCCTTCCCTTCCCGCCTCTCCAATGCTCTCGCCTCCTGGCGCGCTCCTATGGCCAGCGCTGATTTGGTCAGCTGGTCCATAGACTCCGCCCTGGGCGCCCGGGAAAGTTCGTCTTTCACAGCCGAAGAAAGCCCTTCTTCAAAGAGCATTTGAATGGGTTCCGCCGATAAGTCCCACCCCAATCTGTGAACAAGCATGGTGAACTCAGTCCAGTACTCACGGACAGATCGGCTCCCCTGTTTGCAACCCATTAACTGTCTGCGCACCACTCCCTTTTCAATATCGCTGGAAAACATCAGATCCATGGCGCGAAAGAACTTCATCGTGTCCTTTAAGACGTCACTATTCGCTGCCATCAGGGGTCTAACCCAGTCTCTCGCCCCCTTTTCAAGATGCTCAATCACGAAAGCCACTCGTGATTCCTCGTCAGGGAATTCATCAAACTGCAGATTGAGGGCATATTGCATTTCTGTCCGAAAACCATGATAGTTTTTGGGCTCCCCCCCAAACTTCTGCACCAATCCTGGTACCTTTCTGGCGAACTGGGTGGCTTTCCCCTTTTGTCTGCATCCTGAGCCCTCCTCTCCTCAAGCCTCGCCGTCTGCATCGCTAGCTGGACCTCCAACATCTGGTACCTTTCTTCCAGGCTTGGACCCGCTCCAGCTCCTGCTTCTCCGGTTGCGGCTGGGTTGCTCATGATGCCTTCTCCTGCACAAGCTGCTTTCAAAGACTGTCGGAATGCTGTGATGGGATGATGAGCTGCTTGTGCGTAAAATCGTATCCCCTCAGAGTTTGTTCAAGTCCACAAACCTCTGTCTGTGACGGAGCCCCTCAGACATGGCTGCTCTAGTCACTAGTAGATTCCGACAGTGGTTGCTTTCGTAATCGCTTCCAACATAAAA